GGGCCATTTACCCAACCCACTCCAGACTGTGTGGGCTGACTGACAGGAGCTTCTTCTTTTTTGTCTGAGACAGATAATTTCCCCAGCCTGAAATGCTTAAACCGGATATCATGGCCATTGTACTTGGGAGCCTTCTGTGTGCAAAATGCATGCTTTACCCTGGCCCGTAGCCACGGCGGGGCTATTGGGGGCTCTGCCCCCTTACTTAAAGGGCCCCCTTTAAGCCAGAGAGCCAGTTTGATGTGGTGGTTAAGTGCGCGGACTCTAATCTGGGAGGACCGAGTTTGATTCCCCACTCCTCCGCTTGCACCTGGCTGGATGACCTTGGGCAAGCCGTAGTTCTGATAAGAGCAGTTCTTGAAAAAAGAACAGTTTCTGTCAAGAGCTCTCTCAGCCCCGCCGACCTCCCAGGGTGTCTGTTGTGGGGAGGGGAAGGGAAAGGAGACTGTAAGCCGCTCTGAGACACCTTTGGGTAGTGAAGGGCGGGGTATAAATCCAATATCTTCTCTTCTTCTTCTTTTACCTCACAGGGTGTCTGTTGTGGGGAGGGGAAGGGAGAGGGGTTTGTAAGCCGCTCTGAGACTCCTTTGGGTAGTGAAGGGCGGGGAATCAATCCAATATCTTCTCTTCTTCTTCTTTTACCTCCCAGGGTGTCTGTTGTGGGGAGGGGAAGGGGAAGGCGTTTGTAAGCCGCCCTGAGACTCCTTTGGGTAGTGAAGGGCGGGGTATAAATCCAATCTCTTCTCTCTTCTTCTTCTTCTTCTTCCCCTGCTTCTTAAAGGCCCCCGCTGCTTTCCAAAAACATTTAACGGGATCTTTTAAATGCTTCTGAGAAGAAGTGGTGGTGGTGGTGGTACGTGCCCCTCTCCCTTCCTTCCTGCAAGATTTAAAGGGCCCTCCCGTTGATCCATAGGCTGCATGGTCCCCTCTGATCATCCGAAAGGCCCTTTAAAACTCGCAGGAGGGAAGGGAGTGGGGCACATGCCAACCCCCCCCACCTTCATTATGGCAAATAATGGCAGCCCCACCAGAAAAATGTTCCCCCCACAAGCCTGGCTTTACCAATGAGCTCTGGGTGGGGAAGTACCTGGAGATTTTGGGGGTGGAGCCTGTGGAGAGTGTGGTTTGGGGAGGGGAGGGGCCTCAGCAGGGTACAGTGCCACAGAGTCCACCCTTCAAAGCAGCCACATTCTCAAGGGGAGCTGATCTCTATCATCTGGAGATCAATTGTAATAGTGGGAAGCCTCCAGGTCCCACCTGGAGGTTGGTAACCCCAGAAGAACCTCAGTGGGGTATACTACCATAGAGTCTACCCTTCAAAGCTGCTATTCTCTCCAGGGGAACTGAGCTCTGGAAATGGGATGTCATTCTAGGAGATCTTTGGGGCCCAGCCTGGAAGCTGGCAACCGTGCGCCACAGGCAACTGGCAAAGAAGAGGAGGAGGAGGAGGAGGAGGAAGAAGAGGAGATTGGATTTATACCCTGCCCTTCGGTACCCGAAGGAGTCTTAGCAGTTTACAATCTCCTTTCCCTTCCCTTGTGAGGTAGGTGAGGCTGAGAGAGCTCTTTTCTGAAGTGCTCCTGAGAGAACAGCTCTGAAAGAACCTGTGACTGACTCAAGGTCATGCCAGCAGCTGCAGGTGGAGAAGTGGGGATTGGAGAATCAACCCGGTTCTCCCAGATTAGAGTCTGCGCACTTAACCACTACTCCCAACTGGCTCTCAGAGACATACAAGCAAATGTTCTGTGTTAACTGTGGTACTAGCTGGGTTAGTCAGCTTGCATTTGTGTGGAAGGCTGAAGGGGCAGTGCAGATTTTTCAAGGGGAAAACCCATCTAAAGACGGTAGGGTGAAGCTGGGGCTCCGTTCGCCTCGTTGTGCAAAAGCTAGAGGCCGTTTGGTGAGGCTTCAGTCACCAGCCTGACCGCAAAGTTTGCTGGAAAAGATAAGGCTATTTTCAGAACGAGAGCATTTCCTCTTCCTTGGCTGGTGCTCCCAGCGATTTCCGCTTTTCTGGCCGCGGAGGTCAGGGTATGGAAGGGTGTGACCTGCCTGCTTCATCCTAAACACCAGATGACTTTAGAACAGTGGTCTGAAAAAATATATTTTCCTCCCTGCATTCCCATTTCTGCATTAATTTGCTACTAAAGAATTAAACCCCGGGGGGGGGGGGGGAGGGGGGGGGGGGCACTAGGGGAACAAAATTTTCATGGGCCGGTTGCACTGGGCAACCAAGGATCCGGGTAAAACACGCCAGGAATATTGTTATAAATTCAGCAGTAGGACTAGGGGAACAAAATTTTCATGGGCCGGTTGCACTGGGCAACCAAGGATCCGGGTAAAACACGCCAGGAATATTGTTATAAATTCAGCAGTCAGTAGCCCATTTATTGAGACGCAGGAGAGGAGGAGAATATGTGACTACGGGCCAGACATTGGCCACTTCCGCACTGTCATTTTTGTCACTCGTTTGCCCCTGTTGCTTTGGGTCCCTCCCCCCTTTTTCACACGTGTTTTGCTCCCTCTGAGACTACTAGAGAGAGCAAAACACATTGGGGGGGGGAATTATTATGTACGTGGACTGCCACCAGGGGTCCGCGGCACAGGTAAGAGCTGGAATCCTAGAACACTGGAAACCTTGGATCCTGGATCCCCCAGCCCCAACCAATAGCCACGTTGGCGG